AAAAAAACTAGAAAATCAGACAAAGTTGGACTGAAAAACTAGCTCCCTTTCATTTCACGAGTACACTGTTGCGGCCACCTGAACCAGCACACAGGCCCAACCGAACAACGGTCCAATCCTACAACTGACTATATCTCCTTTTTCAAAATTAACCAAAACAACATCAAATAATCTTATATCCAAATATCCCATGCTTTTGTCCGGCATTAAGATGCCGAACATGAAGCATAGGTTCGGTTGACATCTACAGAACAATCACATACAGCTACATGCAACATAAGAAGCAGCGTGAAGGAGAACATTGAAGGAAGAAGAAACATTGAAGAGTGCAAGTAGCGAAGAGAAATCGAAAGTACGCCACTTTCCTTACAAAAATACATTTCAATTAGCAGTAAAACACACATAACAGAACATGAAAACAGAACCAATGTTGAGATTAAGCAATGACCTCATTGCATTATTGTTAGCTATTTTATCAATGGAATTTTGCAGGTGTTAAATTACATGTTCTAAAATGGTCAACAATTGATTATGGTACAAATTAGTGGCCAATCCATACTAAGTGACCTATAATTCGAACTCTAATTCTCAAAAACAGGCTAATGAAAGGAAGTTGAATTCAAGCGAACTATACACCACCTTGAACGAGATGTGTGTTGTGCAAATTTCGGAATTTTGTAGCCTTTTGCGCAATCTGAAAATATTAAATGGTCTGCCGCACTTTATCTACATCATCTTTTGTAAGTTGAACCTATCAAAATTTTTGCTCTTCTCTTACAGAAGATGGGCGTAATCAATTTGCACTGTAACTCCGAATAAATCCTTTGGCGTGTTGGCTTTCCATTTCAAGGGTCATCAAAGATTTTTGTCGATGATATCTGTTTGTCTTTGAAGAGAGTGCTGATGATAAGGGGAAAAAAAAACAATGAACAAATTACATAAAGCAATAAATAAAGGGAAAAACAGACCAAATCATGGTAAAATACTTGATGAAGTGAGTGAAAAATATGATGAAAAAAAAAAAGGATGCTTACCTATCAGTTCATGAGGTAGACCAAAGCCATAGTCATTGTGCCTCCTCTTGCAGAAATAGTATAATCCCAGCAATAGCAAAAATAAAACAACAATGCAAGATAGGCCTATTCCAATTTTGGCCCCGGTAGATAACCCGTTTTTTCCCCAAAACAATGGACAATCGGGCAAAGAAGGCACACCACACAATCGTTTATTGCGAGAAAGGCTGTCGATCAAGTTCAGTTAGTTAGAAATGTGAAGATATATATCTAAAAAAAGGAAAAACTGAGCAGATGGTAATAAGAATAAAAATTATTCATTAGATGAGAAGACCTATAATATAACCCTGCAAAATGATTTTACTTCAGTAGCTGACAATACAAGCTTTTTTAAATTTTAGTTTTTACAAAGCAAAATAGTTATTATGTACCAATTTTCAAGATTATTTAATAGATACCCATAGAGGAAAACACGACTTACTCTATGGCTCCACCGTGTACCCCAATTGAATAAAGTTCCTCTGGAACTTGTCCTTCCAATACATTATCATTCAGTAGCCTAAGTAAAATAATCCGGGTGAGAAAAAGGCACAGAAAAAAGGTTGATAATTCGTGCACAAGGCATATAGGATGAAGCTTTTCGTGACTCTTAAAAGTAATGAACCCTTACACGAGTTGCAAACTTGACGAGGTTAGACTATCTGGTATGAATCCAGTAAACTTGTTGTTCGACAAATCCCTGCATTAGCGAAGCATGAAATATTATGAAAAATGGCGCGCAAGGACACAAGATATTAATAAAAAAATAAATGCTGCACCATCATAAGTCATGAAGTGAATCATCACGTAGAATAAAACATACAAAATATTATTTGCTTATTCGTGATCCTTTGTTTTCTACCACATGAATATATAAATCATACTGAACACCCAAAGATAAACAGAGTTGTTACGAGCCATACGAAATATCAAATCATTAGATTTGGTGTGGTTGAGTCCTCATCTACCAACGACCATCACAAATCAACTAAAAAAAGGGAAAATAGGAGCAAGAGTATGTGAACTTACAGTTTCACAAGTGACTTTTCGCCCAGTCCAGAGGGTATACTACCTCCGAGAGAGTTGGAACTCAAGTTTCTGCACAAAAACAGATATTCATTCATCAATTACGAATTCCTTCTTGGAAGATATTAAATAAAACTAGCAACTAATCGTGATGAAATAAAAGTACTTTAAAAAATAAACTTTAGTTTTAGATTGTAAGCGACGAAAATTGAGTATTTAAGTATATTACAAATTGATGTCGATACTTACAGGCTTACCAAGTTCGTCAAGAGGCCAATTTGGTCACTGATATAACCTTTCAGCCCTTGACTCCCGAGATCTCTGTGGAAAAAAAAAAAGATAAAGATAAAAGATAGAAATTATAGCACTACAAAAAAATTCTAATTGCACTGCCATCACACTTTTGTTATGGCTTTCGCTGGGAAAAAAATTACTTCTTTACTTAAGACTCCGAACTTCTGTTGGGGCAGAATTCAAAATGACGAAACATTATGTTTCGGTGGCTGAATTTAAATATTGCTCAGATTGCAGGTCGAATTGGATTTATCTCTACAACAACATATCAACACACTGTTGCACAGTTTCATCATAATTACTAACCGTAAAAGCATGATTCTCAATAAAAAAACATAATGATGTGAAAATTTACGATGCTTCGCTTTAACATTAACTTGAAAGTTCCGGGGTCGAAATCCTACACATATTCCTTCGGCATTATTCGAGAAAATAAAAAATAAAATAAAATAAAGCTTACATCTGAGACACAACAAGGTAAGATTCATCCTTTGAGGGGTGACAAGTAACACCTTCCCATGCATCCCATGTGGTAGGGGCACACGGATCGCCATTCCAACCCATTCTTTCTGGCACATGCAGAGATGCCTTTAGTGCCCTCATTGCAACCACTGAAAAAAAAAATATATATCATTTCTTTTAATTTAAATTTGAATTCATCACAAAAATGCATTTTGAAACTCTGTTTTCTAACTAGTGTGATAAGGTAACTCGAGGACTTTAACTTTCATTTACGAACATTTTCACCGATTTCCACCTGCAGACTTCACGATTTAAACAGCGTGCGTACGCAAACTAGTATTTCGTGCACACAAATGTGTATATAAAGTTGCTTGTTTAAAAGGATAAAACTAAAGAACAGTGATTTGGGATCATCATATGCTACACACTACTAACTCACAAAAGATGATTGAGACAAAACTCCTTTGAAGCAATAAATCCATATATTTAATGGGAAATGCTACTGTCATGTAACCGTTAGATATAGTCGATCTAGCGGTTTCAAACCCCGACGGAATGGTTCCCTAACGTAGCATATTCCATATTTACTATAATAAAAAATCCAAGATCTTGTGACAAAAGTTCAAAAAATATCCCCACTAAACCAGTGGACAGTGTTTTTCCATGGAAAAATTATTGCAGTTGTGAAATATGATAATCATACCCCTCTTTTTTTCACAAAAATGTGGTGGGTCAGCTTTGAAAAGTTCAGGTGTCAATTAACAAAAACCTTTTTTTTTTTCTATATCACAACACAACCATCAAAAATCAATCACAAAGTTGATGAATCAAAGTTGCAAAATTTCACAAAAATTAATAATAAGCCTAAGATTATCCAAATTCTGTTTTTATAAATCAATAAATCACACATTAATCCCAGTAGAATATTAAAATAGGATAAACTAATTAAAAATAAACAACTGTACCCTGATCAGGTGTTGTCCTGAGATCAACCGGCACAATGGCGTAATTTTCAAGCCCACATATAACCGGCGACCCGACCACCGGCACCAGCCTCACGCTCAAAATCGTGCTGCTCAGATTCCTCACCACATAGCTCCAATCATAGGCCGCAAAACCTCCGAC